TGAGGTCGATGGTTGCCTTCGCTGTCATCGGCTCGGCGTGGACTGCAGTGGTGCTGGTCTGCTCCAGCTGGGCCTCTCAGATGCCATTTCTGCAAATGCCACGACAGCTCGAGCCAATCAAACGCAGTCAACATTATTCAAACTCATCACACCATTAATCGATATCGAACACTATTTAAACGGTTGGCAACCGTCACCCGCTTTAACACGCCACCGTTGGCCAGTTTTCATGACATATATATATGGGTTTTGAGAAAAAACCTGCTGGCAGCATGACCCACCATGCGTGTAGAGGTGTGAACTTATATTACGATGACACGCACGAATACAAGTCCAGTGTTGAGGTAGTATGCAATCTACTATCTTGAGAAAATGCACCAAAATGGGCTCTCCGTGCCTTTATGTACATGGCAAACCGGTGAATACAATCTGAGGCAGCAGCAGCCTGTAAAAACCTCGGGTGAACGCAGCGATGTACGAGCTGCTGGACTCGTCGCATGCGATGCATCGCGTAGACACGGCCTCGCTTCTTGCTAGCAACACGATGAGGCTGCTGACACCGAAGCTCTCAGTGTCCCAGGACCTATGCTGCGTGAGCAGATTCTTGCCCGATCGATAACTACGCGGTACCACATTTTCTAGTCGGCAAGTCGTTTCTGGTCGTCGCAACCTCCGCACCTTAATCCACATTGTTTCCACCGACAAATTAACAAACGAGCAGACATGTCCAACACTCCATTCGTCTTCTAGTCATGCGTAAAACGATCGTACGCTTGTTTGAGCTGCTCCCAAAACAAAAACGTAAACACCGTGTGGGGTCCGAGCCGGAGGTACTGGACGGTCCAGCCCTTGAACGCGCCCTTGATGCCTTCTTTGGCCAGCGTCTTTTGTGCGCAGTCGATCGGTCCGTCGTACAGAAGGCCTTTCCCCGTCGCGTCGAGCGGCTGGTTGTAGAGGCGCACGGACACCACATCGAACGGGTTCATCGCGGTCACGCAGAAGAAGCCCGTCAAGATGGACGCCGACAAATGCAGCGCGACGGTTTGGTCGTGGAAGACGTACGTCGACGGGATCGGCTGCGACAGCAGCATGCCCTTAAAGTACTCGTAGCACGTGAGCTGCGTCGCCGAGCCAAAGCTCACCCGCGGCACGGCGCCGCCAATGCCGCGGAAGAAGCCCTTGAGGCCGTCGGTGGCCAACACCGCCTTGAAGCCCTCGAGGGCCGACGCGTACTGGTGACGGCCGCGCGTCACCGCACCCGAGTTGGACGCTTGCAATCGCGCACGCACCAAGTAGAACGGGTTGCCAGTGAACGACGACGCAGCGCCCGAGAGCACGCCGGCAACGTATGTCCGCGTCCAGTACCAATCCGCGCCCTTCTCGGCGCCAACGAGTCGCTTGGCCGGGTCGTGCAAGCCGAAGCGCGTGCCCGCAATCATAAACTAGCATCTTCCGTGAGAAGCGGGCGAAGGCCATAATGTAATACCTGGTATGCAATCGTCATGCCAAGGCCCGACTGGAGGCCGCGCACGCCTTCTTGACGGCCAATGACGTACAGCGCCTGGAACGGGTTCTTGTACACGCGCTCGACGGCTTTGGAGCTGGCCTCGACGAGCTCGTTCTGCAGCTGCATGCGTGTCTTGACAACTACGTGGCGCATGCGTGCCTGGAACGTGCTAATAGCCTATCGCGGCGGTACCTTCGAGCGGGTTGGTGAGGACGCTCGCGCACGAGGCAGCCGTCGCTGCGAGGAAGAAGCTCGTGAGCACATCCTTGTCCTTGGGCGAGACGGCGGCGGCGAGCGGCGCGGGCTGCAGGCGTGGGCTGGCCATCGTCGTCGTCTTATCCCCACTGATGCTCTGTTGCGCAATCGCCGAGGATATCTTTGGCACGCAAATACCATACGGGACAGCAGTATACAAACATCAAGTGATCTGGATGGCCACCATCTCGGTCCTATTTTAATACAATGTTTAATTGACATACAAAGCACCTGTTGAAGGAGCATAATTGCAATCAATTAAAGCATGCTCTTTTTGATTGGTGTATTTTCAGCCAATCAAAACGCATCCATGGAAATGCTGGCATGCATCGGTGTTTTAAACAGTTGACATGAACCGAATCGAGCATCCCGGTGCATATTCGCGCGGTGGAGCGGCGTGGTCGTGGCGTGGTCGTGGCGACAGCGGCGCCTGCGCAGCCGACGCCCGTATTTGTACCTGTGCCATACTCAGGCGTGGGCCAGACAGGCGGGTTGATGCTCCTCTTTCTGATCGAATAATGCAAGGGCATTGCCCGTCTAAAGCCAGCCGGACAAGCGCAATCAATCCGTACATGGGATTGCCTGCAACCGTGCCACGTTCCATGGACCATGCGTCGACCATCACCGAGGAAGATTCCTCTGGTCCTCGGAAATGATGATGCACGCGTTGTTTTAAACCTGTATACAACAGTGGTACACGACACACAGCATGATGGTGTTTAAAACACTTTGCACTGGCAGGCGACGATGTTGCGCCGCCTCCTCGGACGACCCGCGCGGTCTTCGGCCGCCATCGATGCAGTTCGTCCTCACGCTACCGCATCGCCTCATGATGGACCTCCTAGGACATTAGCGCAGTCGTGGCCACGCTGCGCGAGATGGGCCGCGAAGGCTCGAGCCGCGTACGAGCATGCGTCGAGACCGTGGCTGACGTCACCATGGACTAGATGCTCACGCCGTCCACCGTCGCGTCGATGCTGTCGACCAAGACCACGTCGCCCAGCCAGCTCTACCGCATGGGCCAGGCCATCTTGGAGAACGGCGAAGTCGAGTCGCACCCGGCCGAGCTCGAGAAGGTCAAGCTGCTCTGGGTCGCGGCCATGGAAGCCGGCGACCACAACGCCAAGTTTAGCTACGCGCGTCTCCTCAAGCAAGGCCAGGGCTTCTCCAAGCCGGACGTGATCTCCGCGACCAAGCATTTCAAGCAGCTCGCCGACGCCCGGCATCCGTGGGGCACCTTTGCCTACGCCGAGGCGCTGCGAACCGGCGACGGTACCAAGAAGAATGTCTCCAAAGCGTTCGAGCTCTACCTCCTCTGCGCCCAGTCCAATCTGCCGCCCGCATACATGGCCGTGGCCAACCTGTACATCACTGGCGACGGTGTCGACAAGGTATTATTCATTTCTCTCATGTTCCCCCATTCAAACAACAAATCTACATGGATAGAACGTCCCGGAAGCACTCCAGTGGTACCAAAAGGCGGCCGAGTCGGGCGACATGCACGCCAAGTCGCTTCTCGGTGACTGGCACTACAACGGCCTCCACGAGCTGCCCGTGAACCGCACGCTCGGCGTTGGTTTGCGCCAAGAAGCCGCGGCCGCCGGTGTGCCCAACGCCATGTTCAACATGGGCTGTGTCTACATGGAAGGTGCGAGCGATGTTGGCATCGAGAAGAACGAAGTGGTCGCGTACCAGCTCTTCCAGCAAGCAGCCATGAAGGGCCATGCACTGGCCATGATGAACGTGGCCGTAATGCTTCGCGACGGCATCGGGATTACCCGCAACGTCGCCGCCGCGAGAGAGTGGCTCCAAGTGCTTGCACCCATCGATATTCACGCCAAGGAAGCGCTGGCGGCACTGCCCCACGAGTGAAGAAGCAACTCAATCGAGACGATTTTTTTCCATTGGAGACGATTTGAGAAACGGGTGCATCGATTCCAGGCGGCAACCGGTTGGTTGGTCGGTTGGATAGCACCGATAGGGGTCAAAAACAAAAGGAGTGCAGTGCAACCAAATGCGCGGGCGCTACGCCAGAGACAACTCGTGGCTGCCATTGGAGCGCGTGAGGCGTTGTTTCTGGCTTGGAGAGACTGCTCGTGGTCGAGACATCCTCGCCCACAAAGCGCGCATCTAGAACCCATGTTCAGAACCAGAGGTGGCCAAGCAGCCTCAACCAGAACCCTCGGCAGAGGTCGAAACACGTGGCAGCAAGATTCCAGCGCCAGATTGCAAGTCCGTGTTCACCGCAGCCATCGCTCAATGCCAACAATGCCAGTTGTTTCCTCCGGATGTATCGTCCGCTATGGACGAGCCGTCGACAGCTGTCGTCACGACCACAAGGACCACCCACCGAGTGCTCGAGTTCAACATCGTGTACTAGATGGGCGTTGGATAGACGTTGGATAGACGTTGGATAGGACCTTGTCCGATCAAGGGTGCTTGGATCGAACGTAAAGTGCAGGACGCCGCACTTTACAACACAAGTACACGTCGCACCACGGCAGCGACGTGATGACGCAAGAGGGCGCCAGTCTCATGCGCAGCTGCCCTTTCGCATGGGGAGATGCTGCACAACCTCGTCGGTTGCGCTGCGAGGGGCCGACCTGTGAGAGGACGACTCGGTACTGTAGGGCATCGAGAAAGAGACTGCGGACAACAAGACAAGGGGCTCGCGAGTTGGCACCGTTGGCTTCCGGTCGATGCAACCTTCGATGCAGCCTTCGCTGGACCAGTTTGAGTGGCAGAACCCAGTTGCACCGCTGGTTTACGCCTGTCGCGACGAGGATGATGGGCACGCTGCGCAACATCATCGTTCACGCGCAGTTGCCGTGCGAGACCAGATCTTGCTTTGCAAAAGTAGCTGCACAGCGGCGGTACGTCCAGGATTCCATCAGCTGGCAGTGAAATCAAGTCAAGCAACCATCAACTCGACGCTGGCATTTAAGAGGTTCATGCACGCGTGACGTCGGCGTCTCATCGCGCGGCTTGGTTCGTGCGCAAGATCGACTGAACGACGCAGATCTGCTGCTGGATTGCATCCGGGTACAAGCTCACGTCCATCGTGTGCACATCTCGAGTGCTCACGGTTTCTTCGTCGTCTTCTTCGTCTGGGACGGCAAGAGACGCAGCTGGAAGTAGCATCGACTGCACCTTCTCGCGCTGGCGCACTGCAGCTTGGCCGATCTCAGATACATTGGGCTCGGAGATGGCTTCTTCAAACAGAGAATCATCGTCGTCCTCTTCATCGACAACGCCTTCGTCAATCGAAGTAGCCACACTCAGAGGAATCAGCGGCGGTAGCAGCGACGTGTCGTCTGACGACCCGAACTCAGACGCGACGTGCTGAAGCGACCCCACATCCGAAAGCGATGCGGACGGGCGCTGCTGCCACGACGACGACGACGACTGCGCGTCCGAGAGCGACAACCGCGACGAGCAAAACGAGCCGTGGTCCAACCGGTTGACGTTGGTGAAGATGCGGTGCACAGGCTCGTACGCGCTGCCCATCGACATGGTCTCAGACACGGGCGCGCAGCCCGTGGTTTGACTTTTGCGGATCTCGAGCAGCCGCAAGAGCGCGGCTTCCATGTGTGTAGTCAGTGGCAACGCCGAGACGCCGGCCATGTACGCGGCGAGCTACTCCATATTCTGTCATCGCAGCGCTGTTTTCGCATTGCTTCGTACCATGTGCTCGCGCTTGAGGATCATCTTGTCGGTGAGGTCGGTTCGGAACGGGTGGCGGGGCGGAAACTTGGCACCGACGGCCCTTTGCTCGTCGGGCTTGAGCTACCGAGTACGCGTGGTGGAGCGCGACAAGAGACGTCGGTGCTACGTACGTTGATATGGAAGTTGTAGAAGCGGCTAAAGCGCAGCGCGCGCTCAAAGGTCTGGCCGTTGTACTTGACGACGGCCCGGTAGAGCTAGACGGAATGAGTGCGTGGGCCCTGGCAGCGAGGACGTACGACGATCGGGCTCTTGGTGAGTGGGTCAACGTTGCGCTCGTGCCCGATGATGCGCACGCGCAGTGTCGAGGTCGACGGCGAGCTCCGAGGGGCGGCGGCCATCGCTGGCGACTGCTGGAAAAAAGAAAGGTAATTGTTCGTAACGATTGGCCCAATCCGAGACACGCCATCGATCTAGCCAATGAGATGCCGAGACAAGCGCTGAATTCGAGTCTTTTGCACCAATCCAGAACCAACGGCAATGTCGGCAGAGGAGCCAATCAAATGCCGGCATGGCCAGTGAAGGCGACAGAACGTAGTACGCCAAATATGTGAAAAACGCGCGAGTTGCGCCGGCGCACCAGTTGTGAGGTGGTCACGGAAGTGACAGACGTCGCGACTCCTCGATCGCCCCTGAGAGTGTCAAGATCAAAACTAACGCTGCGGGTACATGTGGTGGTACTGTACTGCATTACACGTGGTGCCATCTCAAGGCGCCACGTCATATATGCTACGCCATTGCGTCTATATAATACGATTCGCTTCATTCACTGTTCTACCACGGCGGTACCTGTCTTTGCAAAAGGGTTGGTCTATGAACCGCGAGCCGCGATAACACCTCGTGCGATGTTGTTCCGCAGAGCTCAAAATGGATAGGTTGGATAGTAGGTCGTCGCGTTCATCGACTCGATGTCGAGAAGGTTGACGCACAAGGCTTACAAAAGGCGGTCAAGTAAATGGCTCAGCACACAGTCACAGTGGTGCCAAGATCCGACTCCGCGCTGTCGGCTGCATGGCGAACGAAGCGAGCGGCAGACACTGCGCAACGAGTCGCCGCTGGGCAAACGTGTCAAAGAATGCAACCACTACCGACTGCCACGTCATTCGGTGTTGCTACGGAATCGGTGTCGACCAATAGGACGCCGTTCCTACACGACTGGCGCACAGCTACGTAGTAGCTGTGCATAAGTTATCTATGTAATATACTCTCGAATTTTGTATCTCTGGCTTCTCCTTTTCGCCCTGCGGGCGCAAGTCTCTTCGCCGCTGCCACGCCTTGTCAGCTCGTTCTGACAAAACGTACGAGCGCTCTTGAAGTTCAAGCAAAAATGGGCAAAAACCAAGCGCTTGATGAAGGCGTCGCGATCCACCCAGGTACACACGGCACCGCTGTGCGCGGTTCTGAGATTCACACGATACCAAACATGTTTCTAGCTGCTTTCAAGTCGAAGCAATCGCGCCACTCTCTGAACGCATGTGCGAAGCGTGATGATCAACGCGTAGTCGGTGAAATAATAATGGCCGATATATCCATGACGCCGCAGCAAAGGCGTCGCGTCGGCATCTGTCGCGTCCATGTCGACGAGCGCTCTCGCAACAACAACAAATATCGTCGCTGGGACTCGGAAGAAAACGACTTCTGCGTTTTAGCCACGCGAGCAAGACGAAATAACGACAGGCGCCGGTCGATCGCACGAGCGATGACGACAACGTGGTGGTAGGATCTGGTCCAAAGCCAGCGTCTGAGACAGACGCGCGCAATGTGCATCATGGGCGATGTACCAGTCTGCACGAATTGGTTTTGAGGACAAAAAACGATGTTTCGGTGCAAGCGTTTCGGATAGCGAGTCTGCGTATGGTTTGACAAATCTATGGCGTGCGAAGTGCAATCATCCCGGTGCCCACATACAAGGGCGTCTATGCTCCGCATAGCATGCTACTCGAGGAGCTTCAACAGCGCAACAGCAACCTCGGAGCGACGTAGTGGGTGATCGAACACGTCAACGATTCCGGTGATAACGAACTGGCTGATTCGGTGAAACGCTTGCGTCGGTTACGGTTTAGTGTACCAACGCCATACCAGTAGCGATTCGTTGATGCAGAGAACGAAAACACTGTGATGGAATAGGCTGCGTTCACAGAGAAGGCTCCGTTTGAATACTAACACACCGCGACGGGCTGTTAAAAAGTCGAGAGGTACAGTAGCCTCTCGAACTGATGAAAATGATATTCAAACTTATTTGGTTCCAGGCAGAGATAGGGCGGCAGTTGCGGCGACGCCGCGGTGCGTATCGCCGCGTGCCTCTATTGGGCGTCAATTATCATCGTTGAGGCACGCTTGCCGTAGTTCTGCGCGGTGCCTATGGTTTAACGAGTATTTTTCAAAAAGTTATGGTATTTGGACGACTTTTTACGTATATTTCGGAAAAGCTGGGTTTAACGTGGGTTTAACGCGAATACGTTAAATATATCAGGGTCGCAAGGTGGGAACTGGAAGCCACGTTTCGCACATGTGATAGCGCGCGCGTAAACGCTTTAAGCACTGGTCCTACTAACCCTTCCTCGTTCAAAGGCACATGAAAAGAGTCATATAGTCATCAAACGTGTTGCTGATCTGAAGCGCAAGAGACACGGTCGTGCTTGGTAGTGGGATGAATCGCTCGGCCGCGACCTGTTCTGTTTGGAGTGCACCATGTGTAAGAAAGGCCATGTGGCGTCACCCTAGCTGCAACCGCATTCGGTTTCCGTCTAGTAGCTAGCTATGCATCTTTCTGAAGCAGCAGCACGACCGAATCTTGAAGGCTCGTCTTCGCTGGAGCTGCCAGCGACAAGCTCGACATGTCGGTCAGCACGTGCGGGTTGTGGTTGACTCGAAACAAGAAATAAAACCGAGGGATCCAAGCTACCACTCGAAATATTAGCCTTCCGAATGCTTACCTCGGCCTTGCATCTTCAACCAAAGAATGGTGGTTGTTTGGCACCGAAACACTAATCGGCCATGGGCGCCAACGGTCGCGACACGCCTTTCGACCCTTGTTCGGCGAAAAGAAAGAGGAGTGTCGACGCCGCACACATTTACGCCGTTCAAGGCAGACAAATTCGCAGACGCATTATTTAGACAGTACTACGCTGTAGGTGCGTCGTCGCCCACGGAAGGTCGCAAAAAATCTGTTAAAAGGGAAAATAGACATACCAAAAATATTGGCGCCATTCTCGCTTAGAATCGGACTGAAGGCGAAGCTCGAGCAGCAAGCAATCCGAGAAGAAGACGAAGAAGCTGATGATTATGTGTGCACGACCAACACCACCCCCGGCGCTGCTACGACGCTGACAAGCCGTCTGGCGCACCGACCGAGTCGTCGACGTGTACCGGTACTTTGTTCGACGTCCGAACGTGGGTGACTGTACAGGGCGAGGGGCGACGGGCGCGACCAGAGTGCGAGCTCACTTCTCGGCGAGAATCAGACTCGGGCACAGGCAAGTAGCAAGAAGGCCGCACGCATCCCACTCTGGTTTACACAACAGACGCCACTCGAGATAGTATTTCCAAATTTGCAACCTAGCACATACTACAAGGAGTATGCACGACGCCGGGAGCCCGCAACAAGTCGCCCAAGGCCTTTGGACCGCGCTTGAGCACGAACGCTTCCTCATGGCGCTGCGCTTGTACCCGGAAGGCCCGTGGAAGGACGTCGCCGACATGATTGGCACGCGCAACGCCAAGCAGGCGCAGGCGCACATGCAAAAGTGCAAGGAGAAGCTCTACCGGCGGATCCGCGAGCTCCAATCCAAGCTCGAAAACGACGACGGGCACTCGAGCAGCGACAGCGACGGCGGGTACGCGTCGAGCCGCACGCAGCGCACCAAGCACGCCGACACGCTCGGTATCCAAGTGCTGCACCCGATCCCGTTCGACATCGAGCCCACGGACGGCTTTCTGTGTCGGGAGGCCAGCATGCGGCACACGGCGACCGGGCACGAGCTCTCAGTGGAAGAGTCGCTCGACTTTTTGATCAACGAGATGAAGAGCTACGTTGAAGGCGAGTAGATCGAATGCGTGTCTCTAATTATGCTTATATATTGCGCTATTTTAACGTGCGTCGGGTTGTCCGCCTCGCTCTCGCCGATCAGATTCTAGGTACACGTACGCCACTCGGCGCAGCTGGGCGATTGCAGATTGCGTCGCATTTGGCACTTTTGAATGGCGCGTCCATGGAAGCCCAGCGTTAGGTAGCGCTGATCGAAAGGCGTGGGTGGCTGGTTCCCAATACCTTTACACGCGCGCACAGCGTGGGACGATGTCCCCGATCGCAATGGTTCAATCATGAGCACTCGAGCACGACGAACCTCGTCGAAGTCGACGTGCAACTACCTGCTGCTCGTGTCCGCAGCAGGCGCGAGAGCATCGTTTTGGGAGAAAACGATTGGATGTTTTTGCTGGTATCCTACGTTACCAAGTACGTGCAACGAACCAAAAGTTGATAGAGATGGCTTCTCGAGGCACGACCGCGACCTTGGCCGCCAAGTCGTACGCCTGACGACAGCGTATTCATTTTGGGTGGCTGGTCTTTCTGTCGTGGGACTAACGTCGAACGTCGAACGGCCTCCGTCTGGCCACAGTTGCTTCGGGACCGAGATTCGAGAAAGCAGAGACCAAGAACGTCGTACTGCGCTGTTAACATGGACGTGTCGATCGCGCTGAAGGCGAGGTAACGTTACCCAAAAGATTGGTACTGTATCGGTACACTGTATGAGATCCAGTAAACGTCGTCGCCGCGGCGGCGATATTGGAGCGACAACAGAATCTCACTTGGGTGCGATAGGCTGATGCCGACACCTACATTGTACGCACAGTGCGCCGCGATCGTTGTTGACCTTGTTGCTCATGGGGCAAAGGTTTAACCGGTTCTCGGCAAAGCGCAAGTGGTGTTTACAAACATGGCATTTTCATGTCGCACTTGGTTGTTTTAGAGGGATTGCTTTGAAGGAGCAAATAAATAGGAGAATTGCTATAAGGACCTGCGAATGCGCTCGGAAGCCGCACCATTGCTAATAATGAGAGTGGCATCGTACCAGCACATGGGTCCACACGCATGTCCTTTTGGTCTACAGAAATGTTTCAGGTATACCGCATGCGTTACCATAACGTCACGTTGGACATGTCTCTGGTCCACATACTAGGAGGCATTTTGTGTGCCGGAGAGTAGTACCGGTAGTACGTATGGATTGGCCGAGGCTCCATGGATGGTTGGAGCTCTGACGTCCGTCACATCAGGCCCCGTGGGTTTAAGCTTTCGTCGGGTAATAAAATCAGATTTTATTTTATTGCCCGTCAATGTAAGCGCACAACGTTGTATCGACGCGTTAGACCTGCAGAGTCCGCCAAACACACTGGTCATACTTCAATAGAGTACGGCCTTGTCGACGTCAACAAGGGAAGGGGTGTCCTTGACACCATGAGGACTCTTGGGATACGACAAGGCAGCTGAGGAGTCCACGTTTCTCAACCTGAGGAGGTGCCGTCATTTTTGTTAAAGGAAATAGTCTATTCGAATCTAAGAGACTTGCCTGTTGGCAATGGATCTTCAACGATTCGGATCGGTAGACTTGGTCTGAGTATAATATAGAGAAAGGAGGTGGTTTTACAATGGCTGGCCCGAAAGGGCTCACTCCAAATTTGGTAGCCTGGTTTCCACCTGCCTTGCACGCTTTTACGCGCCGCAACGACCTCTTGTCCTTTGTCTTGGCTGACGCCTCTGCAAGTGCCTTTTACAAGTCTCTAAGAATCGTTCATGTTCAACTGCGTAAACTTCGTTCACTCGGTTGAGGAACGTGGTCGTAAACAGGCGCGCGATCCACGGGACACAAGTGAGTGTCAAGTTCTCCGTCACTGGCTGCTTTCGCCAAGAAGAAGAACAGAGCTGTAGGAACGCCAGGATTCAAAGAAGATGGACCGTGAATGACCGCCAAGACACGAGCTAACGTCCATGTTAAACAGGTTGTGAATTGGTTCGACCACGCCACTTTCAACCGAATCACGCGCCATGCAACTCGAAGCCTTGTTGGCAGTAACGACACTGCATCATGGGTTCAATGCCCTTGAAATATAGGATCCATACACATTTAGCGTAACAACACATGTAATTTATTGAACAAAACACATATTTCGCACTCGTCGTGACGACTACCGCTGGTCAAAATACGCGTCCACTTCGTCGTCCGTCACACCGGCGTCTCCCGCCTTCCACGCCGACACGACGTCGTCGGGCTTGATGACGAGACCATAATGATCCGCGGCCACTATCGCATGCGACGCTCGCTCGATCACGAGCAGTCGCGGCGCGCCCAGCGTGTTGTAGGCGTCGTGCGCCGACAGTGCCTTGTCGATTGCGTCGGCCGCCTCGATTAAATGACTGCTGTACGTAAACCGATGAAACGACATATGTTTGATCGTCTCGTTGTCGTTCGGCTCGTCGTCCAAACTGAAAAAGACGACCGAGACGTCGTCGGCGTTGGCGGCCGCAAACTCCTCGATCGAGCGCGTGAGCTCGTCGCTCGACGCCCAGCTCGCGCTAAAATAGAGCAGTACAAACGTGTGGAGCGCGTCGTAATCAATGGGATCGCCATGCGCTGTCACGAGCGTCTCCAGCGGAAGGTAAGCTATCACGTCCACCTTCTCGTTATGGTCGGCGACCGGCTCGTCGCGCAGCCAGTAGGCTTCTTCGTCGGCCTCGGAAATGTCGTCGCCGGCACGCCAGAGGCTCAAGATCGTGTCGGGCTGGAGGAGCACGCCGATGCGCGCGCGCTCCGAAAAGACCATGCCCGAATCACGCTCGACTGCGAACGCTGTCGGGATGCCCTGGATGGACGGATACGCAGCCTTGATGGCTTGAAACGCTGCCGAGTTGGTCTCGCACCACTCCAAGCGGTAGTACGGCTTGTGCCGGTTATAGAATCGCTGCATGTTGGCGTTGTGGTCGCGGCCAAAATAAATGACCGAGACCTCGTTCGGATTGGCTTGGAGAAACTGGAGCACCGACGGCGTGAAAGCCCGGCATGGCGGGCACCAGTAGGCAGAGAAGAGCACGAGTACGATCTCGTTGAGATCGGCCAAGGTTGCAGGACGACCTGCCGCGTCGACGAAGGGCCCGAGGTCGAGGTCGTCGTCAAAGAGGTAGCTCCAAAAGCCCGCCATGGTCGCAATGGCAAAGTGATGTCAGTTGTGGGTGTCGTCGGGCAGGTCGCGACAAGACACGCATACGCACGTCATGTCCCTACGTGGCAACCGAGCTTGTTTGTACTCGACTGTTTTGTTTTTTGTGCTCGATTTATGTGCATCTATTGTCTGTTGAGGCTGAGCACATCGAGAGACACCGGCGCTGGATTCTCGCTTGCATGGGAATGGTGGCATGGGCGGGCAACGATGGTGGGTGGGTGTATGCGTGTTTTGTCGCTTTCGGTGGTCACCGCGTGAATGTATGTCTCTGGGCGAACCGTGCACCAGCTGCCGACCAGACACTAGAAATCAGACTGGTATGCCTCACGTGCCAGAGCAGCCGTACAACAACACAGCAGGTGGCGCGACTCCCGTCTTGTAGGCGGAGGACTGCATGCGTCGTGTAGTGGTAGCGCTTGCAAGAGGGACCGTTGAGGATGCAGCCGAGCAATGTGCCGCAAAACAGCTGCCACATAGAACGACGCGAGAGTCCATGCGGTGGCAAGATGACGACCGCGAACGTTTGGTCGCAGAATCGGCAATCGAAGCAGCAACCTGGTCGAGGTATCTTGTGTAGAAGCAGATGTTCGTTGACGGCAGCACAATCGCCTCTTTCTATTCATGGAAACTCCGTGCTTCGTGTCGCGGGTGCGACGACGAACGAGCAAGGTGCACAGCAGCCGAGCGATATGCTTAATGGCGGCAAGTAGTAAAGGTGACGACGTGCGCCACGTCTCGATCCCATCAAAATTGCGCCATCTTGAAAGTTTCAGGCACTCGAATTGATAGCACTCGCTTTTGAAACCGTCGCTAAAACGGCTGCCGTTTCGGCGGGGAAACACGCGGAGGACGGACTAGGTATCCGGGTAGCAGCCTCAACTATGCCCAAATGCAAGGGTATACAATAAATTTATTATATACCCTTGCCAAATGGTCTATAGCCTTGGGTACATACATAAAGCTCGATATTTGGCTAGTATAACTCAAATGACGCCTTTGCGTTTTCGTAGACATTATTTTGCCTTGCTGGTCCCACACGCGGTCCGGAGTTATCTCTTCAACATGCGTCAAAGCAAACGTGTCGCGCGATCCTTGAAGGGCTGTTTCACAAGAAGTGGAAGAGGTTTTCCGCGCAAGGCCGAGCAATCTAGTAGACCGGCTCCAAGATCGCACACACTATATGATCCAAGATTCAGGCGCAGAGCAAGCGAGCTCAAGCCATTTCCAAATGGGTAGTGTCAGTCAAATAACGAACCCGCCTCACCCACCACTGGCATGACCAAGACGGTTGTCGCCGCCAAGTCGTTCGGTCTTGGTTGAGGAATGAGCTTACAATGCCGCGAGCTATCTCAATTTGCACGATGGAGATTTATTTACAACCAAAAGAGTCCCCATACACACTGTTATCACATGGCACGTCCGCAAACCACTACTGCCTTAGGCCGACTCGGCCTTGGCCGCTTCTTCTTCGGCCTTCTTCTTTTGCTCGGCCTCCCAGCGCGCTTGGAACCACGCGCCGACCTCTGCGTCGGTGATGCCCGACTCGCCGACCTTCCACGCCCCGAGGACCTCGTCGGGCTTGATCAGGATGCCGTAATGGTGCTTGGCGACGACCGCATGCGAGTCCTTCTCGACGACAATCACGCGCGGCGCCGCGAGCGTGTTGTAGGCATCGTCTTTGGTCATAATCTTGTCGAGCTGGTACGCCGTCTCGACCAAGTTGGCGCTGTGCTTGAACGACGCAAACTCTGTCTTGGCATCGTCCGCGTCCGCGTCCAAGCTGTAGTAAACCACCGAGACGTCGTCGGCGTTGGCCTTGGCGAAGGCGGAAACAGCCGGCGTGAGCTTGTCGCCGTCGGCGTTGTGGGCCCACTTGGCGTTAAAGTAGAAAAGCACAAACTGCTTGAGCGAGTCGTAGCCGATCGGCGCACCGTCGGCGTCCACGATCGTGTCGAGCGGGAGGTGTGCAACAATGTCGACGTCCGGTGTGTTCGAGGCACGGGACCGGCCCCAGTACTCGTCTTCCTCTTCCTCGGTAATGTCTTGGCCGTTCTTCCACTGGTCGACGACCGAGTCCGGGAAGATACGAATGCTCACGGCCGCGCGCTCACTGAAAATCTTGCCCGAGTCGCGGTCCACTGCAAACATGGTCGGGATGCCCTGGATCGAAGGATACGCGCTCTTGAGCCGCTTGAACGTCTCGATGTTCTCGGCGTGCCACGCGAACCGGTGGTAGAGGCTCTTAGTGCGGAGGTTGAACGCTTGCATCTCGGGGTTGTAGTCGCGGCTAAAGTAGACGACCGAGACTTCTGTCGGGTGCTTGTTCACGAACTCGACAACCGACGGCGTGAGTGCGCGGCACGGTGGGCACCAGTACGCCGAGAGCAGCACAAGCACGATCGGGTTCAAGTCCGAGATCGCCACCGGGTGGTTGTTGCCGTCGAGGAGCTCGCCGAGCGTGTTCTCAGCGCTGAAGAGGTTGGCCCAAAAGCCTTCTTCTGCGTGCGTCGATGCTGTCATCCTCGAGGGAAAAGGAAAAGTGACGTGGTCCCATGGATTGGACGCATCGGCCAGCTGGTGCAGCATGTCCTGGTCGGATTGGTCGCGTGACAAAAAGGGGTTCGCTTGCGTGCAACCAACTCCATCGCTGTGGGCTTGGTGCTGGTGGCATTCGAGTCCCACGATGTCTGGAGAGATAAGAGGACGATGCTAGATTCTCTGTCGCATCGTCCTTGAGGGCGCTGCCGCGGATTCAGCAAAGTGAAGGCACCGGCATGAGTGAAATCAATGGAGCTGCCGTGCACATCTGACCGTTGATGATTCTGGGTGCGATGGCCAGATCTGGTTTGCTTCTGGGTTTACAGTCTCGAACGAGAGTAAAGTATTGAATACAAAACGCTCATGTACGCATGTATCTTAAAAAAAAAGACCGTGCGGGTCGAGGGTTCGTAGCCTCGGAGTGAGGCACGACGACGACGAGCCTATCAGAGTCTTCTGCGACCATGCGCTGTCCGGTCCACCCACATGTCAGCGTCTAATTGGTCCACACTCATCTGAGTCAGCCCAACGGCAAGGTGGCCTTTCTCGGGTCTCCCTTCTTGACTGCATACTTTGAGGTTGTTTTCATCCTCGTGCTAGCTCCTCGTGCTAGAACACCTACCAGATTTGCATAATTCGGGAAAATGACGGAGTTTTATGAAAAAATCGGCCAGGTGTCACGGTTTGCTCAAACTGACGGTATACAACACGAAATCATTCTTTCGAGTACACATTTGTCATCGAGCCCATTTGCCAAGTCTGTCTGGTGTAGAGGAAGCCAACATCACCCATTCCTGCATGATGGGCTTTTGGGTCCGCGCCATCGCGACGCTTACCGCAGCACCGTCACGTAAAATGCATATAAAACCACAAATTACACCGAGAATCGCCCCGGTGGTCGGCGGTTCGATCCCCCATCATAACGCTTTGTAAGACGACCGAGGCAGCCGTCCGCGCCGTTCATTGGTATCGCCGTCGTGGAGCCAGCCACGTTGGACATGAAGATAGGTTTCTGTGCAGCGTCGCAAAGAAGGGGCGGGTTCCATGAACCACCAACGTCGGACAGTATTGGTAGACTGCCTTAGAGACTGCCCTGTCCAATCCACTTCTGCAAGTCTATTTTCGTGGACGGTTGTTTCACGCCACAGGTTTTCGGACAAATGACAACATTGCTGTTGGTAAGACACATCCAACCGCCGTCGCGCTGGCGTTCACCGCACTGCCGCTGCCACCAGGCCGAGCTCATTGCACGACGATGGCAGCTGCTTGAAAGAGAAGCAGCAGCGCATCTTCCAGGTCGCTCCCCAAAGAAGCGGCACGGCTGCCGAGACGACAAGAATCAAGAAGGCTCCTCAAACACCACGTGGCGGTGACGCCGGCCTCGCAGGTGGCGTCGTCGGCATGCTTCCGACCAATGAGAGACGCGGACGTCTCTAAGATCGTGGGCGGCTGCGTTTGGCGTGTCGTCCGACGGCTGAGCCGCTTCTGCACCAACCCGAGCAGCTAAAGGAAGGCCACCTTCGAGTAATACATGCCACCGATATTCGAACCGCACGCGATCGATGATGGTTTCGGAATAAATTCAAGTTAGCAGTTAGGTTAAGGTACGATATCGCTAGAGTCGCAAGCGGCCCATCGGCATCGTGGCAATAAAAAATCGAGCGAGTCTTCGAGCGACACGGCACTTGCTTCGTCGCTGGGTACGAGGCTGTTGGGGGCCAAGGCTGCGCCGGCCGCGCTGTGAAAGGGAATCGGTGTCACGGCCGACACGTGGAGACTCGCGGCCTGCTTGCACCGGTTCGAGGCCGCCGACGTTGGCTCCGAGACGTCGTCGTCGACGAGCATGTTGTGTTCGCGGAGCTTCCGGACCATTTTCTCTTTGCATTTCTGCATGTGCGTCTGGGACTGCTTGGCGGTGCGCGTTTGCACGATTTCGGCAATCGCCTTCCACGGCCCTTGCGGGAAAAGCTGGAGGCCAATGAGGAAGCGTTCGTGCTCTTCCTTGCGCCAGAGGCCTTGGGCGTGCTGCGACGTGGGCTTCTTCTTCTTCTTCAAGCCAGGTCGACGGGTGCTGCGAACGGAGCTGCTGCTCATGATGGACTGGCGGCTCGTCTCTGGCAGTTGGAGCATCGCGGGAAATGCGGAAATGCCGACGGTGGACGCCGCAAACATCGGACTTTGTAGAAAGGTCGAGTTTGTGTTGATGGCCACGTCGGATTCGAATCTTCTTCGCTCTTGATTAAACTAAGGAAGCGAATCTCACGTCATGACCATGGTGGAAGCTGCATCAACAAGGCGCGCCCATGTCACATGCTTGGACATTCCCGATGTGCCAGCGTTTATGATTGGTTTAGAAAGAACCATCCGGGTGAACGCGATGTACGGGACGTGGCAACAGCCACGTACGACGCCTGCCACATGGTAAGAAAGGAATTGCCCAGTACAGATGACCACAGATCGCACGTGCAGCAGTGTCCAAGCGCCTGCTGCTACGGCACATGGGTGAAGAAGGCAAGTACTGTGCTATCGTTGCCTGATTTGCGGTGGCCGTCAGTGAGGAGCATTGACTGGGGCAAGGACGATGGCACGGGTTCGAAATGGAGGGCACGGTTGGGGAACGAATCTTGGATCAGGTGGGGTTGATTTAAAAGTAGCTCTGGCCAGCAACGTTGGAGCTGACGTCAGGTTGCTTCTTGTCGATGGACGACCATGCCTCATAGGTACCGGTATGCGCAGATTCGATGTGCTATCGGTGTCGTCCACAAGCATGTGACAACATCGCATGTACATCCACGCTAACAGACGTTGGCGCACAAGCGTCAACATGGCACGCTTGCGGCCACACGTGCGCCTTCTCGAGACGTGCAGCAACGTGGGAGGATTGCGAATCGGAGAACTGTACCTGCGTCGAGATTCGCATCGAGTCCACGTTTGAACACGTTTATGTACACGTGCTAGCGACCGAGGATTACTTTACGGCCGCTCCTTGTCGTTCCCTTGGCACACAAAGTCGACATGCAGGTGGGTTCTGAGGAAGGCGTCGATGTTGACTCCACATTTGACGCTGCAAGTGTGGTGGTGATGTGGGGTCTGAACGGCGCAGACCATAAATTTGTAATCGCGACGCTCATCATCGACAGCTTGGGTCCTGTCAGCGAGACACATTCCGTGTACTAGTACGGTGGGTTGCACGGTTGAGGGACTGGGAGTACAGTTTCATCGGCCAGTTATAACGGTGGCACCATGCCACCGGTTACGGTGAACCGTCAGTCTAGTCGACAATGATCTTTGCTATAAAGCCTCAACCGCTTGCTTTGGTTACATGCTGGAGCATCAAAATCGAAATGCTGGACGATCCAGTGGACTGTCAGTCGTCATCTGAGTGGCGAGGTTGGGTGGCTTCGATTGGTCTTTTGAGCCAAAGGTTGTCGGTCGCGATGGACATGACCTGCCGTGTAGACACCAACCAATAGTAGTAAGGCCCAGGCGGACCAGGTAGACCCGATTGCGTGCTTCGGACTCACCAAGGTACGAGCATAACGTTAGTACTCCTCTCAGACTCGGGAGCAGCGCGCAGTCGGACGTTTGAGTCGAATGCCCTCTAAATGATATACTCACTTACTGCCGACCAATTGGCGGCGACTCTAAACCATGACCTGTTCCATTGACTTGTAAAGCGCAAGGCAGTTCAGTTTCAGATTCACAAAACGATTCCGCTCCACGGTCCGCACCGTCGTTCTCGAAACCTAGGGTTTCTGTTGAACGATGCAAGGCTCAACATGCGCGACTTGTCGCTAGTCGTTCCTGCGCATGTACTAGAACCAGTACTCATGTACTACGTATCGATGGGCGCTGGTCGGACGGGCCATGGACAACTACCCTCGGCTTTTTGGCTCCATCCGGATACCGCACGGCAGAGTGTGGTGCTCGTGCACTAACGTTCTCGCAGCAAATATTGTTCGCATAGTACGGTGGTCTTGTGCTCGCTTTGTTTATAGTGTCCCCTCACAGCTTGTGATAGCAGACGCATGGATGCCGGCGGTTTGACAGATAGTAGACAAGCTGGTAGACAAGGGTTTCCTTTCCGGCCGTGTCACAAACACGCTACAATGACTCGAGCGAAGAGTGGTCTCTGCATACGATCCAGCAAAGCGACGTAGCATTCAAGACGCATTTGGCCCCTTGTCGACTCAACGCGAAGTGCGGCGGCTGCTTTTGTCGCGAGATGCTGGTCCATTACAATGGTGCGCAGGCAATGATTTTAGCCTGCACAGGATAATAAAACACACCTTAACACACGATCGAAAGCAGTGTCTAAACAGTGTATCTGTATGAAACCGCCAACCAGGATTTCCATCCATTGCCTATTTGCTCCACGAACGCGTCGCCATGTTTGAACGGATTCATTGACTGGATTCTACTATGCTTTCGTATAGAATATCTCTCGGACGCACGTCGTTTATCGCCAGGCTGAGCTTACATGTTAGGAGGTGAGCTACCAACGGACTGTCTTTGCATTTCCGATCCATACAGCAACGCTGAGTCCATCGACAAGCACCAGCGTGCAGTGTCTCGCTAGAGACTCCAGATCTCTTCTCCCAACTCAGTGCACAAGCTGTCTCATATGAAAGCGCTCGCAAACCATATCCGGATGCTACGGTACACACAACACACGAAATCTTTGACAATTGTTGATTTGCCACCGTCGGAGACCGCCGTCGGAGTCGACTGCACGAAGGAGAACCAACCGTCGCCATGTGAAGGTCTTTCTACTTGGAGAAAAAAGTTTGGTCTCAAGAAGTGCGACAGCACTGCTCGACTCGACACCACCGAGGACCCTTGACACCGCCAACGGCCCGAAATCAACGTGGCGGCCTTGATGATTGCGTCGGACCAGGGATGTCGATCTGGATACAAACGCGATGCGTCAATATATAGGTCTTTACACGTTACTATCCCATTTGGCTCCAAGCTGACTTTCTTCTCGAAGGCGTCCTGGATGCCCCATGCGACGATCGCACGCGGATATAAAAAGCAACTTTGGTGGCTTGGTGGCGTAGTATAAGTGCACACGACGATGCATAGCTCACGGACAGAGCTCGCAGTTTGCAAGCGCCCTATCGAGTAAGTAACAATGTACAACAGACACAAGATAGAAATCTATTTGTTATCTTTGGCTTCTATTTTCGCTGGCATTTTATTCCTTCGAGAAGTTTCCTACAATCACCAAGATATATTATAAAAACAAATGAAAATGCAACCGACAAGCGCACCAATCCGCTGCTTCCAGGTGCCATTTTGCCATTTTGTGATTTCGCCCGACCTCGACCGCGATGCAGCTCGCCCCCGACGACGGCGACGACCGCCTCGACGTCTACCCAAGCAAGCTCGCACTGGCGCCGAGCCTCCTGCTCCCTATCGCCTCGGCGGCCGCGCAGCTCACATGGACGCTGCTGCTGCACCGCGCGGTGCGTACGTCGGCCGACCTCGCGACGGCCTTTCACCTGCTCCCGCTGCTCTTTGTCGCTGGCGGCCTCCTCGCCCATGCACGCCGAGCGCCGCATGGTGCGCGCCACACGCCGCACGCGATCGGGCAAGGCGTCGTGCTCTGTGTGCTCTTTTTGCTGCGCATGCACATGCTGCACTACTGCGGCGTGGCCTTCACATCGCTGGTCGAGACGGCGCACCTCGCGCTCTCGCCCACTGACCTCTCACGGCACGGTACACGGAAAGCGGGCGTTGCGATTGTCGGCGGGTACACGCTCGCGCTCGCCTTCTCGTCGGCGTCGACGCACCCGCCCTCGCTCCTCTTCCACCTCGCGCTCTGCCTCGCGTCAATCCTGCTCCAGCACGCGTATGCGCATTGGAACGCGTCGTCCAGTGCTTCTCACGCGCACATGGTCGTCTGTGGCGCGGCCGCCATCAGCGCGGCGCTGTCGACGTGGCTCTTTAGCGCCTTCTTTGCCGCGCCATCCGTCTTGCCGCGCGCCGAGTCGGCCACGCTTTCGCCGCCCACGATCGCGCTGCTTCTCGTCCTCGTCGGTATCTTTGCATTGCCACCGCTCGTGCCACAGCTCGTGCGCGACACGCCTCTCTCGGTGCACTCGAAGCACAACGCGATGGCGCGGCTCGTGCTCCAAGTCCCCCTGACGCTCGGGTCGTTTGTGGCGCTGCCGTTCTCGCTGCACGCATTCATCCACGCAATGCTGTCGCTGAGTGCGCTGGTGCCGATCCTCTGGGGGCTCTACCTCGCGGCGCCGTGGCGACTGCCGTCGCTGCCGACTGTCGGGAACCCGGCTGCTCGCACCATTGTGCTTTTTCTGGCCGGCAACTTGACGTACATGGTCGTCGAGTTTGTCGTGGGGTACTACACCAACTCGCTCGGCCTCTGGAGCGACGCGGGCCACATGCTTTTCGACAACATTTCGCTTGTGATGGGTCTGTTTGCGGCCACGGCGTCGAGCTGGCCAGTCAGTGGCCGCTTTGGCTTTGGCTATGGCCGCGTCGAGGTGCTCTCGGGCTTCCTGAATAGCATCTTGCTCTTGCTCATGGCCGGCCACTTTATGCACGAAGCGATCACGCGCCTGACGGCGCCGCCGGACATTCACACCGATCACTTGCTACTGACCTCGATTGGCGGTCTGGCCATGAATGTCGTCGGGCTCGTCTGGTTTCACGACCTCGCGCACGGCCACAGCCACAGCCACGGCGACGCTTGCAACTCGAACCTCGTCGGCGTCTACCTGCATGTCCTCGCCGACACACTCGGCAGCCTCGGCGTCATTGTCTCATCCGTTTGCATCGACGCGTTTGGCTGGCTCTTTATGGACCCGCTCTGCTCGGGCCTCATCTCGATTTTGGTCGTCGGCAGTACGCTCCCGCTGCTCAAGGCGACCGCGATCGAACTCCTCCAAGGCGTTCCCGCCGAGACGGCAGCTCAACTGGCGCGTGCGACGCGCGATGTCGAGATGCTGCCGGGTGTTGCGTGGGTCGAGCCAGCCCGCGCCTGGCGCCACGGACAGAAGGGCTTCATGCTCACCATGCAAGTGGGCTGCGTCGACCATGTGGACCAAGGACTGCTGCTGGAAGCTGTGCACGCGGCGCTTGGAAGCGGTGTCTCGGACGTGGCCGAGGTGGTTGTGCAACTGGTGTCGCATCGCGGCCTGCAAACACCGAGTCCCAGGATGTGCATGTGCTGCCACGACCACGACCATGAGCATGATCACAACCACCACTGATTTGGACCGTGGATCAAATTTCTTAAAACGTTAATTTAACTGAATCGAATAGACAATTCAACTTTCAGATTAGCTGGTACAGCCGCAAGGACGCTGTGGTGCGCGTTTCTGTACTCTCTTGAGTGCACACTACAGCTGGGACATCCAAAAGGCAATGCGCCAAATATCAATTGCCAAACATCAAATCGAATACGTTTTTGGGGTTTATTGAAGCCGACACTACGTTAAATACAAGCTTTAAAATGGGTTTCTGGATCAATATTTATTAGAGGATTTTCGAATCAATCAATCAAACGTGTTCGCGTTAAAATCAAATTTGCAGAATCGAACTCATAGACATCGCATACATAGTGCTACGCCTGAATGCGTGGGCGTTGGCACCAGCACTTGGTCATTGAAGTTGAGCTGCGCACGGAGAGATCCTCCCGTGGTGGACCCCACTCGCCAAGTGATAGCTCGCTCGAGGTAGGTAGGTTCCTGGAGCTGGAATTTTTAGGATTTTAGACGCTGGTCGGGTCTCGGCAGGCAGTACAAGTACCTTGGCCCAGACCTTGACCTGCATTAGGAAGGAGGAGCAAAGCCGCGCACAAGGGTCGTCGATATTCTCTTGGAAGCCTGCAATATTTCAATTTTTGTCAGCGCCGAACTTTTGCGCCCTGAAAACGATGAGCAGCGCGACATGCTGCGTCATCGACCTGGGCCTCGCCGACGTTAATGATGGGATCTCAACGATGTGGCTTGGGCGCACGGACACGGCGCGGACGTGCATAAAAGCACGCGAGATGTACGCGGCAAGATCTTCCGTCGGCGCGGAGCTGCAACTTGGTGACCGCTCATGCTTGTTTGTTTCTAGGCCCGCGTCTGATTGGTGCGACGTGGCGGCGGCTGCTGCGATGAATATGGGTGAGGTTGGGATTAGACGTTGGGTTTAACGCGTGCATGCGCGTTAAACGAGTTGGAGCTGGTTGAAGACGTGCAACCAATCATGTGTCCTGCAAACAACAACTATTTGTAGTCGATTCCAATCCACAATTCGCTTTGCAAGGGACAGAATCAAATACCGAATAGGGCAGCTGGCACAGAAAAATATAGAAGTGAATATTTTCGACACATCACAGAGGTAGTCGCTCTAGTCTGCCCTCGACGACGCAATCCAGAACACTGCGTGCGCAGCACACGAAAGCTACTCCACTTGTCGCGTACAGTAATAGCTACTATTCACGGCGAAATGACGTGGCGCCTCGAAAGCGCGTCACGGCCCCAACAAACACATCATGCTCCGAAATAGACGCTATTGGCTGTTGCGCTGCTGGGATTTTTAGCACGAGTCGCAAGGGAGGGGTGAATAAACCTCAGGTGATTGCGAAGGGTCGCCAATGTCCCTCGAGATCTCAAGTGGCAAAGGGCCAAGATCTCTCTGCAAGTGCACGCGACGTGCCACCCGCTTTTAGCGAAATGGCATTCGTTGCCAACGACGTCGCGTCGCTTTGGTGCCTCGCCGCCTCTGTAACACGACATTCACTCAGCAACGAAGGGTTCCAATGCAAAATGACACACAAGCGTGTGGACGGCCATCGCCCCTTCGATCGTAGTCGACAACGCGAATATACTTTAACGCAATCCACACTTCCCATTCAACCTATAAACCCTATTAAAACGTGGCGCCAAGTCACGCAAAAAAGCGCTCGCCGGTGTCGTCGGTGGCCGAGACAAATGTCCAAAAGTAGTCGAGCGCCTCGGTCCACGTGATCTTGTGGCCATCGAGCGGCCGCGTGCTGCTGAGGACGGCGGCGGCCGGCGAGTCGAGCGGAATGGGCTCCACGGACGCCAAGCGCAGGTTGTCGGCGTGCTTGGACCGCCGCAGCAAAACAGGGTTCGCCGTCGCCGCGGCGGCCGCCAAGCGAATCACATCGTTCTCAGCATGTTGGTCGTCGAGGATGACGCCGCGGAGCACTTCGTCGCGCCGCCGCCGATGCCGGAGGATCTTCTCCTTGCATTTCTGCATGTGCGTCTGCGCTTGCTTGGCATTGCGGGTTTGGATGATGTCGGCGACAGCCTTCCATGGCCCTTCCGGGTACAGCTGGATGCCGACAAGGAAGCGCTCGTGCTCTTCCAAGCTCCAGAGTCCGTGGGCAATCACGGGTTTCTTGGACGGTCGCCCGACCGCCCTCCGTGGCTTCACGTCGTCGGTCATTGGGTCGTCGACATCGCTCGGTACCGTGTCGAGCGAGCTGCCTTGGCGCTGGAGCTCGACCTTGGTGCGAATCGAGTGCTGGGATGTCATGTGCTCGACGCAAAAGTACGAATGGGTCCGACGATGATGGCACCCTTGAGTTTCGCTGCGCCATATTTTGGCTGCGTAGACACGCAACGCCCGCTCAAGAGTTGTTTGCTGTTGCGCAGAAATGACACCGTGATACCACAGTGGATCTGGACCAACTACGTCACGGGCACGGCGCTGGATTCGTTCGCCGGCTACATTGTACTACACAATTGGACATGTCAACAAGTTGTTGACAAAATGTTGAGACTTGGGACGACACCAATGTATCGAAAATGAATCCAGTTTCGACGGGCTGTTCACCCCGTTCCGCGCCGCGCGTTGCAGTTGCGAGTGTGTAGACCGATAAAAACAACACACTGCCATCATCATTTCGTCCATTCCAGAACATCGTGTCGCCAGACTGCGTTTGCAGAAGAAAAGGGTGCAGCAATTTATTGTGTCGTCTGTGCTGCGCAGACCTTGGTACGTTGTAGCTGCCGATGGATAATGTGGAATCCCATCTTGTAGCTACTGGTCCCACTTCTGCGTTTCTGGTAAGACGGCAACTGCAATGAGCACATAAGCAAGTGGTGGCACTGGCGTGCACGCAACGTAACACGGACTGCGACACGCGTCTCTACTTTCCACATAACGAGCCTCCGAGAGCGCACCCAAGGCCCGATTTACGAGACGAGCCTGCAGAGCGCGCACGTCAATTGATAACCCATCGCGCTCTCATCACAAGAGGCTTGGCGGCTTGGCTTGGACTTGTTTTTGTCTAGCAACGACGCTGAGCACGGCCGAGCGAGGGTCAATAAAAATTGATCACGACCCTCGGGTCGAGGCAGCGAGTGGGCGCAAACATCGTGTGCATGGAGTACTACACCATAATCACGTGCTCGATGCAAAAAAGTTGGATAATTTGTTTTTTGTGGGTCGAAGCACCAAATGGCAGTGACGTTTCGGGGTCGATCCACCCACTTGGCGCACAACAGCCCATGGTACAAGGCGATGCGCAGAGCGCGATGCGCAGTGCGCGGCAACAAAATGAAAAGATCAGAACCCTAAAAAATGTCCAGCTTTAGTATCTTTGACGCCACATGTCTCGACGACGGATCGTGTGATGGCGTGCGTTCTGGTATCATTTATGGGCAGAGTCTTGCGCACTGTCGAGTTGCCGCTCAAATTCAAGCCGTGTCCTGAAATAAGTTCAATTGCAAGCTTCTTCGTCGCATAAGAGGTTCGTATCCGGCCACCTGATAGACCTGCCACATACCGTTACTTTAAACACGCTTTGTATAGCAAAAGGCGCGCCAGCTTGTACTTTTGTTCGCTTATTGATCCCCAAACCCGATTTTCCACACTATAACGCACTAAGCCCACTTTGACGTTCACAATAACTCACCATCCGAAAATCTAAAGCACCATGAGCAACGTGCTGTTCCAAGCGCTGGCTCGCCTTAATTTTGCCCTAGTCAAGGTAAGGGGCTGCAATTTTGCGATCGTCGACTGGTAGGTGCCAGTCAAGTTCAAGGCGTCTAGGTGGACCTTGGATCAATATCTCACCACTGGCTAATTTGGGCGCGATATTCATAATATCCCACCTCGAGGAAAACTGGACTTCACAAAGTATCTTTTTTTCGCCAATTTGGTTGTTTTTAGGTCTACGGTAATAGGATTGCGCTTAGTTTGGATAGCCTTTTGGCCTTGCCGTGCTGGACCTCACAGTATCTGGTAACTTACTAGTATTCCTCGGTCGTTCATGCGACCATAAACTGCTCCTAAAATCATTTTCTTTCACAATTCCGGGCTGGACGACATGGAAGTTTCAGCGATACCATAACGCGACAGCAGACGGTGCCTCCGTCCGACGCCACGCGTCAGGTGCCCAACGATTGCAGTCTTTTCATTCGTTCCAAGTGTGTAGTACGAAGAACCACTTGCAGTCGACACGTGTACGTTGTAGCATCAATGTTATAATGTTTATGGCCTTGGTAGCACTGAAAACGCAGTGTTTTCTGTGATATCCAACCCAAAGAATCGCGTATTTGCTACATTTCAACAAATATTGAAGTGTTACTACGCTCGGAAGCCGTGATTCGCCTCTTTCGCGTTCATTTCCGGGACTAGTACCCAACGCTCGTACGTACTCTATCGACACCTGCGGGGTTACAGGGTGTGTAGTAAGGGCTCCAGATCGTCAGATCCACCGACACTCTGCTACCGACATTCCTAAACCCACATTCCGAGCAGAATGCAGGTGACCACCAGAGGTTGTCAGAGTTTGCCTTTCGAGTCATTCTTCAATTGTTAACCTTCTTGAACGATAATGTATCCTGCGCTCTCACCCACCGAGAAGACGCCGGTGATGGCGGTGCCAGTGGCCGCACCGACGCCGGCTGCTGTGCCCATGTATGGCGGGTACCAAGCTGCGCCGCCCCAGTACTACGCCGTGCCGCCGCCGCCGTGCGACGACCACGAGGACAATGTCTTTTGGTATGCACTCACAAGTCCACTGCGCCTCTTGACGTTCCAGCTCGTCTTCTTCCACCTCTTCAACCTCGTCTTGGCACTGCTGGCCTTCGCGCTCGTCGTTTCGGTCGGGTCGCTCGGCGTCGGACTCATTCCGCTCTGCTGCCTCGGCTTGCTCGTGCTGCAGTTCCTCTTGCATCTCGTCCGCGTCTTTGCCGAGTGCGACGTGTACTTGTACAACTGCATTGCGCCGACGAAGGACCAGATCACGGTCAACTTTCAAGTGCCGCGCCGCGGCCTCTACCACCGCAGCGGGTACCGCCTCTCGCCATCGCTCTCGACGCTCTCGGCCGAGTCGATCCTCGCCGTCTTCTACTTCGTCGCGATCAAGCTGCCGCTTGCGCTCATGTTTAGCTTGACGCCGCTGATGTTGCTATTGACGTCGGTCGCGTGCATGGCCTTCCCGCTCTACTGGGACGACGCCTACGCGTCCAGCCAGCCCATGACGATTACGTACACGCACCACCACCGCGTCCACACGCTGCATGCGAACGTCGCTGGCATCCCCGTTGACGAGGCCCACAAGGTGCAGATCGCGCTCTTTGGCGTCGGCTTCCTCTACTTTAGCGTGCTCTGCCTCCACGGCTTTTGGCGCGATCCTCCGGGGGCACGACCAAGTTTTTTCACCAGCGAGTTCTTCTCCACGACCGGCGTCGTCGCCCAAACGCAGCAGCCAACGTCCGGCG